AGGCCACGAGGCACTGGCATGGCCCATCAGGTAGCGAGGGGTTGTGACTCCTCTAACAACGTGCCCCACTGCCCTCAACGAATCACTGGGGTCTCAGGGGCATTGGACCTCCCCAAGAATGGTCTCAGACCAATAGAGGCAAGGGCCGCACACATAAAATCTTTCAGAAGAAATCATTTTAATAAAGGATACATAAGAAACAAAGCATACACTAAAAATCACACATCTACTATAACATATTTTCATTTTATTTAAAAATATTTTTGTCCTGATTTCTGTGTTTGAGTAGTGTATTCAGAGTCATTTTCATAATAGTTCAAAATAAAGGGAGTATGTATGGGAGTGTGTGGTTGGGAGCTGGGTGTGTGTGTGTGGTGGTGTGTATGTGGGGGGGTATGGGGGGTAGCAGATGTGGGGGGTTAGGGTGTGGATATGGGGGGGTGTTTGGAGGGATGTGGGGGTGGGCATGGTGGGGTGTGGGGGGTCATGGTTGGGGTGTGGATGGGGTGGGTTGGGTGTGTGCACGTGGGGAGCTGCCCGAGTGCTAGGTCCTGGAAGCTAGTGGGGGTGGGGGAAGGAAGGGCAGGGGGCATGTGCAGGGTGCAAGTGCAGTCTTGCCCTCCTACCCTCCAGGCCATGACTGCTCCCTGGCACTCTGCATGGGGCCAAGCCCCATCCAGTCCCACCTGGGGCAGCCTGCCCCATGCTCTTGCCTGCACCCACCCCACGCTCCCATCTATAACTTTCCTGCAATCCCATCTGCACCTGCCCTGTGCTCCACTGCACCCTCCCCAGCCCCGGGCCCAGCCAGCCTACACAGCTTCCTGGTGGGGCCACCTTCCACTTAAAGTGGCTGTTGATCACTTGGGTGGGTGGAGTGGGTGGAAGGTGGCCTGGAACTGCAGCCCTGCATGTTGGGGCAGAAGCCACCCAGCTGCAGCTTCTCCCCACCCACTGTTGCTTCCCCTCCCTGCCTTCTGCCTAAAGCACTACAGCAGGGACAGGAGGAAGAGACACTGGAGGTGGAGGGAATGAGAACTTCTCCAGGCAGCTGCAGCGGCAGAAGCAACAATTTTTCCAGGAAGCTGTACACACTGGCCAGGGCTGGGGCCCTCTGGTGGACAAGGGTGGGAGTGTATTGCATGCTGCCCCAGGTGGGAACAGGCAGGGCTCAGCAACATGTAGAGTACAATTAATTGGTGGTCGTTAGGGCTGTGTGAAATTTCACTGGCCGTTTCGTTCCAACACTGTTTCGATCAATTTTGAGGTTGAAACAACAAAATCAGAATGAAACTGTGCTCGCCGGGCCTCGAACATCCGGTCTCATGCGGCCTTGATCCAGGCGGCTGGTAGAGGGCATCCTGCAATCTCCTGTAGGGCTGTGATCTGACGTCTATACTCCGAGTGGCTTCCCCCAATCTCGCCTGCCATGACTTTGAGTGTTGCACCAGTGGTGGGGCCAGTCACCCAGGGTTCGGCTGCAGTGCGGCGACCGCCTGGCGGTAGTCCATGGGGCTCCACCTCCCCATACACCCCAACCTCACACCAACCTCCAGCGGGTCGTCCGGTCTTCTTGGCCATACCCCCGACAATGTTTGTCCTCCCTGGGACCCGTTGGCTCAACATGTCCCCCACCACACTCTAGGACCTGCCTCCCAACGTGACTAACTTAAACAGAAGTAGGGCTATGGAAAACTCACTCCCTCCGGGCTTGGACAGTCCCTACCCGGAACTCCAAAATTCACACTATGCTCCCACCAAAGCTGGAGGCTCAAAGGAAAATACGATACAATGCCCTACTATATGTATAGCCTCGCTCTCTCTCTCAACCCCTCCAAAAGGGGGACAACTGAAAAAAGAAAGACTAACAAAAACCTAGCCTGCAAGGACCTGACTGGTCCTTTTCCCTTACTCTTGTGTTAGGGCATCTGTTAATCCTTCAAGCCCCCTGACCCTGCTGGGGTTTGGCCCGTTGGGGACAGTGCTGACCGTAGCTCTTTGCCCTGGGGTGTTATGGCTCTCCCTCCACCCTATATGCCATGAACCATTGCTGTCCTTCTCCCCTGTAGGGAGCGTCCCATTCTGGTTACCCTGTGGAGTCTTCCTATATATCCGGTCACTCCACGGGTTGTGGGTAGCACCCAGCCTCCGGCCGGGCTGTACCTCAGTTTGTCTTGCTGCCCCGTTCTGTCTCTCACCAATGGGGAAACCTCCCTTGCCTCCTGCGTTCCTCCAGCACTCCCTCCTCCGTCAGTGAGGAGGGCTTTCTCAGGCTCTGTTATCCTTCCACCAACCCTGCCTCTGTTGGCGCAGGGATCCTCTTCTGATTCCTCTTCTGTTTTTCCAGTGCTCTGTTTCTCGCTGTAGCAGAGAGCCCCTGCTGGCTCCCTCACTCTCTAGACATTCTGGGCAGCACCCGGTTGCAGAGAACTTCTTGTCCCTGCTCCGCTCTCCCCGCCATCTTCCCCAGAGGTTCCTCTTATCCCTGCTGGTCGGTGATTGCCTGTGACATCACCGGATGGTTTCAGCTGGATAAAAGCACGGCTTATGACCCGCGCAGATTTCCTCGCTCCCTTCAGCTGCGTCACGGGACCTGCTGCTGGCAAGCGATCCCTTTGAGTTATTTTTGTCTTTTCCTTTTCTGCCGGGTGCTCCCCACCCCAGGGGTTCCCCGTTTATTGTTTGGGGTTCTCTCCCCCATTCTCCCCCAGGACAGAAACAAAGGCCATCAAAATCACCTCGAAACAAAATAGGGCTGGTCAAAACGTTTTGAAAGTAGAAATATCAGGAGGCGCAATCTAGCACAGGGTACCAGGAAGCAGCCCAGCTGGGCTGCCTCTGCCCCTGGCTCGATGTAGCACTGGGGATGGGAAGTCAGCCCAGCTGGACTGACTTCCCATCCCCAGCAAAACTTGAAACAGTGTCAAAACAGCTTTTCTGTTTTGACGGAATGGAATGGAACAGCTGTTTCGACTCGAAATGAAATTTGAGACAAAACACTGTTCCCTCGAACTGACAAAACTCAAGGCGAAATGGAACGGTGCCATTTTGCACAGCCTAGTGGTCACCCACCCATGAGCCAGATCCAATTAGCTGGTGGGCGAAATAACTTCCTCATTTGAAGTTCAGTCCTGTTGAGGATGGCCTGTGTGCAGACACATGGCATTTACCGGTGATATTATCGGCTATACTGGCCAAAAAAAGCCGATGGACGATAATGTTAATTTTCCTTTTATTGGTGCCGATCTGATATGTGACCGATATATTGGTGCACCTCTATCATTTTCATACAATAGCTTTCAAAGTGACCAATATATTTGTTTGTAAGAGTGCACTTTAATTGTCTCATGCTCTAGAGGTGAACAGAGAATGTTAAAAACTTTAGAAGCTAAAGTTGTGGACCTTTTAGGGATATCTCCCTCACCTTCTTAATGTTTGATCAAGGAATGGGGTTGTCTCCTGCTTAAAAAAACAGAGGTCTTTCCTCCAAAACCAGATGGATGACTAGAAAGCTGGGTCTGCTTTCAGAAGGTAGGTTACTTCAGCATAGATTGAGATCTTGACAGCGACCATCCCAGAGGAAAAGGCAGTTGAAGCACATTTTGGGGGCACAGAACAATGGGAGAAAGCTACTCTCTAGCATTCCAAACCTGCAGAGCGTGGGCTAGTGAAAGGCATGGGAAGTTCTTCAGTAGTCTGAGACAACACCGCTGTAGAGTCAGTGGAGCTCTACTACCAGCCTTGGACCTCACTGGACCCCCTTTTCAAAATCCTATGTCCACCCATGGTAGGGTTACCATATTTCCAGTTCCAAAAAGGAAGACACCTGTCAGGGGGTGCCCCTCACTTCTGACCTGCAGCCCCCTGGCGCTGCCCATGCCCCACACTCCTGACCACCACCCCCTGGTGCCCCTCACTCCCAAGCCATAGCCACAACAGCCCTGCTGGTGCCCTTCCCTCCCAACCCACAGCCCCCTGCTCCCCCCAGCCCTGCCAGAGTTGATCCCCAGCTGCTCCCATCCTGACTGGGCCAGGGTGCAGCACCTGTGGTGGCTCCGGCTTGTGTGAGTGGAGGCAGAGTGAGTCTGGCCCTGGTGCAGGTTGGAGGGAGAAGGCGAGGCCTGTGGCACCTCCTGCCCTAGGCTGGGGCTCCCACACCCCTCTGGTGGCCTGGCTACACCCCCTCCTCCCTGCAGTGTCTCCCAGGCACCCCACCCCTGTGACCACGGGCACCAGCCCCCGGTGCAGGTGCTTCCCCCTTGCCCCAGTGTCCTGCTGCAGCTCTAGTGCGCAGACACCATCCCCCAAGTTGGCAGACACCCCGTCTCCCTCACACCCATCCCCTGAACACACCACACATACACATGCACTCCTCCCCACCCCCCAACAGTCCCCAAGCCCTGGCCCTCCACGCATGTGCGCAAACACACGTGGCACCCCCTGCCTCTAATCACCCCAGGCAGCTCCTTGCGAGCGGGAAGGCTGCCAGCCTGCAAGGGGAAACCCGTGGTTTTGCTCTTTTAAAGAGGAAATATCCATATTTCCCCCACAGCAGGCGAAACCGCCAGATCTCTAGTACACTTGCAAGCCAGGAAATGCCAAGCTCCCGGACATTTGTCCCTATTTCAAGAAAACCTGCCCAGACGGAGATGGGAGGACCCCAAAACTGGACGTGTCCCGGCCGTGAAGCACGCGTCTCCGCACTGCCGGGCGGCAGAGATGGTGGGGGGGGACCATGACAGGAAACACGGGCCTCCAGGGGAGAGAGGCCGCCTGCTCTCCGTTACTTTCTGTGCCTCGACCTCAGGGGGAAATGGGCAGCAGCCAGTGTCCGGCCTCCCTGCTCCGAGTCCAGAGCCGAGCTGAGTGCTGAGAGCCCCTGGGCATCGGGACCAGGCTGCCGGGCGGGGAGGACGGGGCGCGGGAGGCGGCGCGGCAGCGCTAGGACCCGGCTGCGCGCGGGGAGGGAGAGGCGGGGGGGGGG